CCGTCTTTTTGTGGTTCCAGTCGTTCGCTCCTGGTGGAGTTCCTCGTTGTGCCTGTTTGTGCCTTCATTCTACTCGCTTGGGTCTGTCCTGCAGCTCTTGACCTTGTCATCGTCTTGCTTATCTGACGGATGTTTTGCCGTCGTTGTCGTTGGTCTCCTCTCGGGCATTTGGTGCCGAGTGTCATGGTCGCTCCCCTCTGCGGATTCTTTGTCGTAGGGGGATCGCTTCTTCTCCGGCGGATGCTTGGCCGTCGATGGAACTCTGGCGGATGCTTTGCCGCCGAGAGCGTGTGGACCCTCTTCTTGGCGGATTCTTTGCCGCCATGGTTGCTTGGTCTTCGTTAGCGGATGCTTTGCCGTTGTTGCTGCTTGAATGCTCCTATGTCTTATCAGGGTTGATGCTTTGCCACCACGGCTTTGTCTTTCTTTAGACAATCCTTACGTGTTATTTTTATTGCAGGCTCAGTTGTAGGTCTTTGGTGTTGAGGGCAGTCGCTATTCTTTTTCTCTTCTCTTGTTCCTATGTTTATTCCTTTGTGTTGTCTCGAAGACGTGTACGGCTCCTCGCCGTGACTCTCTTCAAAGGTTATAAACTTTCCGACTTTTCTTAACGAAGCACGTGCTAATGCATGCTTTTGAAAAAAAAACCACGTCACAGTCCAACGCACTCTTTCACTACCTCCCTTCACTCCCAGCTCCAGCTCGCTCGCAGAGTCGCAGGGCGTAGCTCCTGCAACCAGAAGCCACCATGGGCCTCTGCTTCAGCAAGAAGAACCCACCGGCTAAACCCTGAAAGATCGCCGTGGTGGTCTCCGACGACAAGACCAATAAGCCGGCGCAGCAGCAGCCAAGAGGGCGGCGGGGGAGGCCGCGGCGATGGAAAGGAGCCGACGGCGGTGCCAAGCCGCTGCTCCGGGAAGGAAAAGCCGGAGATCGCAGAGGACGCCACCGTTGCGGTTGCGGCGTCAGAGACGAGAGCGCACTCGTCGAAGACGAACGCGACGTGCACGGTGAGCATCGTGGGCTCGTGGCCGAGACCCGAGAGCCTAACCCAAAGGCCCTGTGCGCAGCCAGGCTGCCGATCGCGGCGGGCGTCGCACGGCTTGGACCAAAACCCCGGCTCGTACACCACCCAGCTGCTCGAGGACATCCACAACTACCACCAGCAATCCACCTCCGCAGCTCCCTCCGCCACGCCGGCGACGCCGTCCTTCTCGCTCCCGGCGTGCGTCGCCAAGGCCAGCTCCATCGTCGAGGCCGTGGCCGACCTCAACTCCTCGTCGTCCGAGAACCGCACCTACGAATACGAGCCTGGGCCCTGGCCACTCCGCCGACAAAGGCTCCGTCAACGCGCCGGTCGGCAAGCACCTGCTGCCGGTGCGGGACGTCCGCGTGGAAACCGTGCCTCAGGAGTCAGCCGGGAGCAATAGCGTCTCCGGCCACCCGTGGACGCCCTCCTGGGAGCCCACCTCGGTGGAGTCCACGGACCGGGCGTGGAGCACCGGCGACGAGGCTGTCGAGCAGTCCGGCAGTCACGAGCCGCTGCAGCCCGATGAACAGGCCCCGACAAAACAAGCAGAGGCAGTCCCAGCACGAGCCCAGTGGCCGGTCGCGCGCCGGCTCTGGAGATGGTAACGGCCAGTACCGTGGACGCAGCGCTCATCGTGGCAGCGGCAGCGTGGCGAGCGGCCGTTCTGGTGTTCGAGTCGTCTCGGCGAACTGCCGAACTCGTAGAGTCGCAGTGGATAGGAATTGTAAGCAGAGGCATGAACGGCCGAACGCGCCGGTGGTGGCAAGATGGATTGCTGCTCCACATGTGTTTGTGTTTCTTTGTTAGCCATACATTGTTCAGATGTGATTCATGGTGTGACATTTTGCGCGCCATTTTCATGCATGTTGGTTTGAGCAGAGACCTTCACAGGGTTATCATTTTCTTCTGTTCAGTTGCTGCTTTACAGAGCAGGGAGAGAATACAGAGAGCCCCCCTGGTAATCATAGAGTTGTTTTAGTATTAAAAATTATGTTGGGGGTGTTCGGCCCTTGGATGGTTTAGAGGAATCACAGGAATTTGTGAGAGAGAAAACACTGTTTATGATTAAAAAGCGAATCAAATCAAGTTTTAAGCAAGCAGCCACCAAAACAACAATTCTCTCCAGTTCGATAGTCACTCGAGCTATTTCTCCTGATTGAGAGTTCTACGCTCTTTGTCAAATATTGGTATAACGTTTTTATAAATTGTGTCTCCTGTGATGAGGAGGAAGGTGAGGTTTACTCCAACATGTTCAACCAAATACATTGCTCCATCCTATCCCCAAAAGAATGTAATTGTAAGTTCAGTATAAGTTTTATAGAAAATAATATCAATATTAATATTAATATTTTCAAATAGGTTTACTATAAAAATATATTTTATAATTAATCTAGTGATATTTACTTGGCATCATAAAGATTAGTAGTTTGTTGAATTTTTTCCAACTTGATTGGTTTACTCCTTAGGAATTGCATCTTTTTGGGATTGATTGAGTATGATCATCAGAGCAGGTTTAATTATTAAAATAAGCTACTGAATTTTTAAAATATAATAGCTTTCGTAGCTCAGTTGGTTAGAGCACCCGTTTAGTAAGCGGGAGGTCTTGAGTTCAACTCTCAATGAAAGCAATGTTTATTTATATATTTTTCAATTTTTTCATATATATTTAGAATCTACTCTAAAGTTTATCATGTTTATATATTTTAAAATTTTCATATATTTTGTCATGCCTATAATAAAATCCTGTTTGGGAGGTTTGATGATTTATGTGCCTTGAGCTCAATGTTCAAAAAAACGCTAGACGCTAGGCGAACGCTAGCCTATGGTTTAGAGTTTTGAAAGTTTAAACGTAGATTAAACATGATTAAACGTTTTTGTTTTGTTTTTTACTTTTTGTGATGCTGAGAGCAAAATCAGTACTAATAACACAACTAGAAGTAATAACAGTGACCACACCTCTTGCTGCACACTTGTTTTTTACATCAGTTCCTTTCCTCCTTGGTTTCTTGCATTCAACAGCAGCTAACAATCAAAGAGAGACTAGTTAATAATCTAAAAACAGAAAAATCAAATAATAGGTAAAGAGTAGAAACTCATCTATAATAGTACCAGCAGCAGCTGTAGCTTCGGAAGTCGACATCCTAATCCTAATCCAAGAACAACAGTAGCATAATAAGGATCAACAAATCAACGCATCATAAGGACTAAGGAGCTACTGAGGCAGTACACATTCAATCTTAACCCTAAATCCCCAATCCAATTCATCAATTGAGTGATTGACATGCAGAAATCAAAACTACAGAGCATGGGAAGATGGGGAGAGACCGAGGGAGCACACGGAGAGAACGAGCGAGGGTTGGGCTTGGAGCGGCCTCTGCGTTCTGTTGCTGTCGAGACTCAGGTCTCATGCCGGCTGACAGCCCTCTGTTGCGGCGCGACGGCCCTGCGCTGCTGCCTCTCTGCTGTTGCCAAGGAGAAGGGGAGCCCAACGACCCCCTACGGCCCTACCAACGGCGGCGAGAAGCGACCAAAGGGGAGGCGGGAGGTAGGCCGAGGCGGGATCGAGTCGAGTCGACAAATCCCGACTCTGTTTCTTGTGGTGGTGATTTGTGCTCCCGCGTCGGCCCCTTTCTTTCATTTCCGCGCCCCCACGCTTCTTTCCCTCGCGGCGCTGTATACTTCTCTCCCGTCATGAGCGCGCGCTTTTCCACCGCCTAGCTCCGTTTTTGAAATCGGCGCCATGCGTGTAAACGAGCGCCTAAGCGCGCCATCTAATTGAGCTTCTACCCCTAAACGCACCAGCGTTCAGCGTTTAAACTAGATTAAACGACGTTTAATAACGTTTTTTTGAACATTGCTTGAGCTCAACTTTGGTGATTTCTAGGATGAATCATATATTGGATTGCATAGGGATTTCCAAATCAAATATCTCTGATGTGTTAAATTTTAGAATCTGCTGTAAAATCTATCATGTTTGGATGAGTTCCTAGGACTATGAGATTCTTTTTATCAGATTTTCAAAATATCCCTCAATCCAGATGTGCGCAACAAATCTTTTTGATGAAATTTGGCAACAATGGCTCTGTTCGACATGACTTATTGCTGCTGTGGCTGATTTATATGACTAATTTGTTATAAGAGAAAAACATTATTTTATAGTAAAAAAGTAAAGCTGATTCTGACCTGTAAACTCAAACGAACACAGCCAACAATCGGTGTTCTTGTGTTTGTCCAAACGCATATGAAATTCTGAAAAAAAAACCATAGGCATATGAAAAGGACTACCCCTGGCAAAGTCAACAAAGTCATTTTTTGATACTTTTTGAGACTTTTTCACAATGTATTGCCATTATAAAAGATCGTAATCTCTGTATTTTTTTTTCATTTAATTTCGAAAAATTCAACGGTCTTCAACATCACTACTCCAACTTTTTTTTGTCATCCATGCCATTTCGTCGATTTGGGCTCTAATATATCTTAGAAAATCATATTATTTTTTTATGCACATGAAAAAAACTACCCCTAAGTTCACAACTTTCTAGAAGTTTTTTCATCTTACAACTTCAAATGAAAAAACTCAAAACTTAAAACTATTTGAGATCTATAATTTTTTTTTTTTTCATTTAATTTAGCTTAAAAATATGATTTGATATGATTAATATATTGTTGGAATTGGAAGACCGCATCAAATTTTTTCTGCGACATACAGTGATTACGACTTTTATAAATTGCCAAGATGCGAAAAAATCTCTACTTTTTTTTGTTGTTATTGGAATGCACAGCCCTACAGCCCTATTCCTTTGGTTGGGCCACAGCCTCAACACACACCCAGCCGCCGCCGCCCCGCCGTTCCGTTCCCCTTCTTCGCCTTCTCAGTCAAGCTAAAACCTCGCTCTCCTCGTCCAGTCAGACAGAGCATGAAACCCTAGGGCGCCCGGCTTCCCTCCGCAATCCGCCATTGCCCTCCGCGATGCAAGCGTCCGTGCGCCTCTCCTCCTCCGCCGCCTTCAGGAAAGGTGAGTAAAGCCTATTTCGCCCCACGCCTCCGGTGTTCGATCCAAGATCGGCGGTGATGTGATATTGTTTGCCTGATCTGTTCCTTCTTTCCAGTGATCGCTGGTGTCTCTAGCGCCACCACACGGTCGTGCTACTGGACCTCCCGGGGGAAGGCGCATGCGGCGCCGCTGCCTGCGCAGGAGCCGCCACTGAAGGGGCAGAAGAGGGCTACAAAACAGGAGAGGAAGGTTCGGATAATGGAATTCGTTGAGAAGTAGGTGACTTTTTCTCACTCGATTTTCTGGTCGTAGAGTTTATTTTTTGGTTCATAAGTAGCAAGTGTGTGTAGCTTTCAGCTCATTAGCCGAGTAATAGACATTTATGCTAGTTGTGCATTGAGGATTGACATTTGAGATTTAGAAATTAACAATGAAAATGTGGTAGAACTCATTCAGATTTGTAGGATTCTGATAAAGAGTGGCAATTATGTCTAGGAGTTATGAGAACGTTTTTCTTTTTTCTGGTTAGTTATTTTTGTGACTGTTAAACCATGTGTTTCTGTTTAGAGCAGTTATAGGGCATCAAATGAAGGCAAGTTTCCTACTATAACAAATATCCGTCAGCAAATTGGAGGCAGACATTACACAGTGTATGAGGTACTTTCAGAAATGAAGTATAATCATGCAAAATTACAACTGGGTAATCCTAAGGCAGCTCCACTTCAAGGAACAGTTGAAGTCACTGAGCACCCCATGCAAAAAGATGAAGCCAGAGTGCTTGAAAGTCAAGTTTCTGAGCAGTCCAAGGCCGAGGATGATGCTGAAGTGGCTCAACATCAAGGAACAGTTGAAATTTCTGAGAACTCCTTACCTAAGGATGAAGGTAAGGTGGATCAGTTTCAAGGAACAGAGAGTGAGAGCTTTAAGGATCTAATGGTATGAAGTCAAAACTCAAGGTGGTTATTTTGTGCTTAGCAAAGTATTTTTAGACATATCCCTTAAGATTGTGCATGCGCAGGACAAACCAGACCCTGGAAATCAGCAAAGGGAAATAGAAGCTAACAAATTCAATTTGAAGAATTCTGAAAAATCCCTGGATGCAAATGCTTCAAATGCATCAGATGAAAGTGGAAGTGACATGACCAATGAGGCAAAGACACATGCCAGGTATTACCCTATTACGCTTTTACGTGCAAAATGCTTTTCTTTCAATGCCATTAAAACCAACATGTCAAAATTATTTGATAAGATTTATAGTATGCTAAAAGTTGTTATGCCTGTATGGTTTAGTTGTTTTGGTATGATCAACTGCTTGGACTTGGCAAGAGGATTACTTCTGCCGTTTAGTGTATACAATTGGTTAATTCAGGCTGTGGAAGATGAATCTTCCTTGGACTTAGGTAGAGAATTGCTATTAACTAACTGGTGACATGCAGTTCCTGGATTCCCTGGAAATATGGCCTTGCCTAACAGAGCTGAAATTCCATCAATTTGTGCCAATGGCTGATTCAACCAATTTATTCCTAGTCGTTGTGGAGTCACTTCATTTTTGATATTTGAGAGAACAGTTCTATGCGACATGGTTAACCTTGTGACTTGGTAGATTTTACATGAAAGACTGAACCAGTTAGTTTCTGACTGACTGGACCCAGAATTCAGGTTCGTGGATGGGCCAGGAAGCACTTCACATTTCACAGCCTGAAACATCCTGGAACTGCCTGGTTGGTAACCAGGAACTAAGGTTTGGGTCAGCTTAGAAGCCTTGTATTAGAATGCACAGCTAATATTATTTTGTTGAGCTGCTCTATTCTCTAAGGTAATCAACACTAACACATCCTGTCCAGTTCATCATAGTTCATAAAGGACATATTTCATTCCCTGTACGTAGTGTCATAGATATAATGTAACCTAAGCTATTTTCTTTTGTTCCATTCGATGCATAGCTGGAAAAAGTGCAAACTTGTTGCTTTTTAAATGTCAACTTTGGACGCCATGGTAATTTTTTGTTTTGTATGTCGTGTTATGCAGAGATGACAACCCAAAGCATGAGGAATCCGCAAACACGGGTCTTTTGGGCAGCCTGAAATCTTTTGCTTATGGCATCAGAAACTTCTGGAAAAATATGTAAATCTGACTTAACACGCGTGGAGCCCCCCTCGTCCTCGTGGCTTCATTCAATTTCTAAGACTGGACCAAACTGAGAAGGCTACATAATTGATAACTTGTCCCTTTGTTAAGCGTTTGCGATACTGGATCAACTTGTAAAGTTCTTTTTATTTCACAACTAGCTATGACGCTTTGATAAAGCTAGATAGGAGTATTAGTACTGCCCCTGTTGACTGTTGTGCCCCAAGTTCACATGGTACCCAAGTGTTGGTGGTAACTTAGTCCCGTTCGCGTGCCTTTAAACCCGGCTTGATCTGCTTCTTTTTTCATTCGGAACAGTGTTTTTCTCTCACAAATTCCTCTAGAATTTTTCCAAACCATTCAAATTTCTCAAGAACCATACCAGCCGAACACCCCCTTATTGTTTTTGTCAATTGTTGTGCACACATTGAACGTTGGGCGCAAATTTTATGCCGCCTCAGCTGACTTTATCCCCCTAGCTCGTTGTGCAATTGAAGTTAATATTTTGGATTGCTTTCCGGATAAAAATGACATGGGATTTGTGAGAGTTTCTGATAAAACAAAGCACAGATGCATATGACAGCGGAAATTTGGCGTTGACCTTCTACGGCGACGGAATGTAAAAAACCCTTTACAGGTAGGGGAGTAGAAGGTCAACTGCAAAACGTAGATTCTATGCCAACATTAAAGCAGCTTTCCATTCAATCCTGTTGCAAAACACAACCTAATAATAGTACATTAAAAATGCTAAGGTCCTGTTTGGATCGTTGGAATTAAATTTATTTTAATAATTATAATTTAGACACGTATTAATTAAACTAATATAGTTGTTTATAGATTATTATATTTGTATATTATTATTGTCTATATAAGAGAGACTTATGTGTTACGTCTCTATCACAGGGAGAATGAGTTGAAGATTATGTTATAAGTTGTAAAGTAGAAACATAGTTTGGTAATCTATAGAATCAATTTTCATCAACCACCCTATAAATTTGAGATAGGCTTATATGCGAAATTTGAAAAAAGTGGTGGAATGTTAAATTCAAAGTCAAATAGCCTAATTTAATAAGTGGATTTCAATTCCACCAAATAAAAGATCCCCAAATATACAATATACATTTTGCCGTTTGGAATGCAGAGGGGCAGGAAATAGTCCAGTTCCCGGCCATAGGGCTCACATGACATGATCAGCTATTCTTCGTCCGAACTCTCGTAAGCTAAACCAAGCAAACTTCCAGCTGTGTGAGAATTTGATAACATCCTCCCCGCTGGTGCTGGGAGACGCGTGCCTGTAACCCTTTTTCACCCGGCAAACTGGCAAAGCACGGCCAGCGCTCATGATTGGGGACTGGCACTGGGCGTCAACAACCACGGCACGGGCTCGCCCGCGGCGTCCTGTTACAGACTACAGAGTACTGCAGACCAGAGCCCCACGCCTCCAGCTCTCCAACGACCAAAGTCTTTTTTTCTCGCGGCCAAAGAGGAAAAGGAAATGTAGCTCACACAAGAATCGATAGGTGGTGGCATCTGAGCGATGCCATCTCATAATTGAAATTACAACTAATCTTGGTCACGGGTGGTAGTAGTTCCGGCTAAAGAAACCAGACTAGCAATCAATCTTACAAAGAACATAGTCGATCGATCATACATAGAAGATACACCAGTCATGTGGCCTCGAGACGAGCAACAACAGATGCCATCCGGAGCTCAAGCTCTCAGCTCCCGGATGTAGTTGGGGCTCATCTGGTTGATCTTGTTGGGTGAGCTCATCTGGTTGACCGTGTTCAGCTTGCTGTCCAGCGGCCTGAAGGGCAAGTGGTCCGCAGCCGGCTTCTTGGCCGCGCGCAGGCACGCGAGGTAGCTGTCCGGCTGGTTGTTCCAGTGAGGCAGCCTGCTTATCTGCACCGAAGCTTCCTTGTCCCTGGACACCGGAGCACCGGACGGATCCTGCACCAATCAACCACCAATTTTGCGCTATTGTCAGTACTTTCCTTGTGATATAAGCAGGCTATTATCAGTGCATTTATCGCTATTCTCCATGGTTTTCTTATCAATGAGTTGTTTGCAAAAGTCGGATTTTCTTCCAGAATGATAAACAAAAGTTCAAATAAATGGGCTACTTTTTTTATTTCAAAATCGTTGGCAAGATGTTCATTTCTCTATTGTTGCAGGGTTTCATTTCCCCAAGATAGTATATGGTGATAAATGAGCGCCATTGTGATGAGAAACAGGTAGCACAGAACACTTGGGTGAAAGCATGGCATGGATAGAGAGGAGTGACGTACCCCGAGGAGAAGGAAGGTGAACTGATGCTGCTGCTGTTTGCTGCCTACTTCTTGAAAGTGAGCCTCTATTAGCTTCCTCAGATCTGAAAGGCATGAGTTGCGCAGTAAGCTTCAGCCCTTTGATCAGGCTGCCAGACTCCCATTTTATGTAAACTTCCAAGAGGCCACCATCCTTCTGTCCAGCAAGGCTGTTCTCCTTGTTGGGATCACTCTCTTCCACTGCACTGCATGTATTCAGTTGATCCGATAATGGTGCATCCACAACTTGGCATACGATTGGAGAAAGTTGAGAAGACACTGGGCTGTCAGCCACTCTGACATCGCACATGGGGTTCTCTATAGCTCCCCATGCCGACGGCTCCTTGTTTTCATCTCCAAAAGTTTGGTTTGCCGGTGATTTGTTCTGATCCCCAAACACTTGCATTCGCTGGAGACTTGTTCTCATTCCAGAACATTTCCTTTGCTTGGTTTGCCGGTGATTTGTTCTGATCCCCAAACACTTGCTTCGCTGGAGACTTGTTCTCATTCCAGAACATTTCCTTTGCTGGTGACTGGACCTTTGGTTTCTTAGCTATTTCACGATGATTGCCACAGAGCCTGAATATGTTCTCAATCCGATGCTTCCTTGTTGCAGGATCATCTGGCTCAGAAAGTGTATGTTGTGTTATGTCCACCTTAAAGTTCTCCTCTACAACCTCCTTGCGTACCTCCTCTTGAAGACCACATTCCTTCTCTGCATCCTCTTCATCTCCCTCCTCAAACACAGTGCTGAGGACAGTCTTTTCAGGATACCCGGACAGCCTGACATCATCTTCTTGCACCACAGACCCTGTGCAAGCACTTGCTGCTGTGGCTATTTGATTCCATATGTGTCCCTGCTGGCGAGTATCCTCCTTTATTACCTTGACATCTTGCATGGCTGACTGATCTCCCGTATCCAAGTCCATAGACATGGACATTGCCATTGATTGATCAAGGCCTGCAGGCATCTCTGATAGCCGTGCCAGCAATCTACCTCCAAAGATATCCTGCTGCACTAGCTGAGGAACCATCAGCCTTTTCACGCTCAACCTCCTGCAGTCGCTGTCTTAGTGCAGTGAGCTCTTGCTGCTGCTTAAGCATCGCTTCTTCCATCTTCATGAGTTCACTCCTCAATGACCTAGTTTTCTCCATTTCTTGCCCTTCTATCAGCTTGAGCTTTGTTTTCAGTTGTGCTAGCTCCTCTTCCTTCAGCCTTAGCACATTCTGGGCCTCATTGCGCTCTTTCTCCCTCAATTTGTTCTCCTTTTGAAGCTTGTGGATGAACTGGTTCATCACAACAATTCTGGAATTGAGCATCGCAGATGACTCCTCAGAGCTCATTTTGTCCCTAGGTGTTGCGGCATGAGCAGCACGGATAATACACTTTGCCTTAGCACCATATTCCAAAGTAGAAACTGTCTTGTGCAGTTCTTTTGGGTCAGGACTAGCACACAGAATCATCAGGATTTTTGATTTGTCATCTTCAAATGAATCCTGAAATACAAGATATTTGGGTCATCGTTAGAGAGAGGCTGTATCAATAAATGTAAATTTTTGTAGTGTACCTGTAGTAGCATTGTGAGCTTGCTGTCCCTAAATGGAACATGGGAATCACCATTAGCAATGGATTCAACCACTCGCTTCAAAGCAGTGTTCCCTTGGTTAATTTTTGCTGTCTGTGGAAAAATTGGCAACATTATAGACCACACATGTAATAAAATATTATAGGCTTTTGACAGTGTGAAACTATCTATTAAATACACAGAGCAACTACTTGAAAGCCATTGTTCAGAGTGCAATTGGAAGCTTGGAACACATGGATGCTAGATGCTACAAACATACAGGAATCAGTTGCATAACACACCTGCATTTTGGCTTCAAATCCTGTTTGTCCTGCTGCTTCTATGTTTTCAGAACCAGCCATGTCCACAAGCATTAACCTTCCTCCCACAGATGGGACATCCAGGATAATCTATAGATGCAATGCATAGCTCGTAAAAAGCTTGGTTTAAAAAAATGAATGCTCAAAGTGCTGGTGGCTGAATGCAACAAACCATGCAATGGCTTCGCGAACTTCTCTCATTGCAAAGTGTGCTCTTCACAGTTCTTCGCTTTTCCACCTTAGAAACTTCTCTTGATATCTTCCCAGCTTCATTTCCAGATATATAAGTTGCGTTCTTTGCTTTTTTCCCCATTACTTCCAGTCTCACCTGTGCATAGATACAGAACTGTGAGGCTTCAATGATACACTGATTTACATCAATTCATAAATTTACAGTGACAGTCACCAAGAACAACGAATGGCAACGTTGGTAATCATGAGATTTGCTCTCACATTTCAAATTATAACTCGTCAGCACTTCCTAATTAAGACCTGGGACGTTCGAGCTACAATCCCCAATAAAACATTACAATTTGAGGCCAAATGACAATCTGTTTTTGGTGGATAAAATTCCGGCATTGCTTGACTCAGGTTAGAAAGCGCATTAACATATTTAAACATCACAATGACCTAATATTGAGCTTATAGTTGGGCAGACCCAGTGCCGGAGGCTCCCACATGAGTGGGGTGCAGGAAGGGATAAACATATTTCCCCAAAAAATCAGAACGAACTCACGACCTGATGACTCAGAAAGCCTCACCACACAAATATTGAGCTTATAGTTAATCATATTTAAAAATCACATAGAT